AGGATTTCACCAAACTAATCTTTTTATTAGACTTTGAGTTGGCAAAAAGTATAAGCATTCATTACTTGCAGCCATGACTTAAGAAGGTTTTCTACCAAATCAAGGAATGGTATTTCGATAACTATTTTAAAAGAAAGGGAAGTTGTTGACATTGTTCCAAGAACACATCACTTTGTTAAAGTGGAAGAATGAGTCATAATGCTGCTGGTGGCTGGGAGGAGGAGAGTGCAGACAAAAAACAGCCGTGAAGAGGGGAGGGTGGAAAAATGCAAGGCAGGGAGTGCAGAGCAGCTCCTAGATGCTATTAGAACCACTCAGGGACTTAAGAACAGGGGCTCTGAGAGCTGAAACAGCGGATGATGAAGGCAGCTTCCGAAGCAACATTCGAGGATCGAAGCAAAATTATAAAGCACTTTCTGTTTTCCATCTAGCTACTGTGTCCATTTTTAAAGGAAGTAAATATTTAAGTAAAACTGTGTTTTTATCATTAATTTAACAGAGTAAAGACTATTTCACTAAATTTTATCTTATTTTTCTTATTGGAAGTTTCAATTTGATCCTTGTTATATAGTCATAGTCTAGTCATTCTTCTCAATGCTTTTTCAAGGTTATTCTATTATTATCATTCTTTAATCGCTTTTCATTTTTATTTTATTATTTTCTCTAAGACTTTATTTATTTGAAAGGTAGAGTTACAGACAGTGAGAAGGAGAGTAGACAGAGAGAAAGGTCTTCCATCCACTAGTTCACTCCCCAAATGGCTGCAACGGACAGAGCTGCACCGATCTGAAGCCAGGAGCTTCTTCCAGGTCTCCCACTCGGGTGCAGGGGCCCAAGTGCCTGGACCATCTTCTACTGCTTTCCCAGGCCATGGCAGAGAGCTGGATCAGAAGTGGAGCAGCCGGGACTAGAACTGGCACCCATATGGGATGCCAGAGCTGCAGGCAGAGGCTTAACCTACTGCACCACAGCACCGGCCCCATTTTATTTTTATTTTTTTACAGGTTTATTTATTTATTTGAAAGTCAAAGTTACCAAGAGAGAAGAGAGACAGAGAGTGAAACATCTTCCATCCACTGGTTTACTCCCTCTGGCTGCAACTGTCAAGGCAGGGCTAGGCCAAAGCGAGGAGCCAGGAGCTTCATCCAGGTCTTTCCCATGTGGGTACAGGGGCCCAGGCACTTGGACCATCTTCTGCTGCTTTCCCAGGCACATCAGCAGGGAGCTGGATGGGAAATGGAGCCGCTGGGACTCGAACTGCTGGGACAGTGTCCATATGGGATGCAGGTGTCGTGAGCAGCAACTTTATGGGCTCTACCACAATGCCAGCCCCTAACTGCATTTTACTTTAAAATTATGACTACTAGATAGCTCTCGATTGTAGATGGCCTGAAGATCTAGGTTCGCAAAAATACACCTTTGCTTTGAATTATTCACCATCTATAAACTAAATAAAACACAATGTGCTGAAAAGAATTAGTAACATATCAATACAGCTATTAAAATTCTGAAGTCAGAACCATTACAGTTAAAAGCAGCAATTCCACACTGTAATTTTACTTTCCAAACATATATATTGACATGGAACTATAAAGTCATTAAAAATTTCTCAAATATTTAAACACAAAGTTGAAAAGTCTGAAAAATACAACATTAAGCCATGTCAGTACAATGTTAAAATAATCAAGTAAAAAGTAGCAAGAATTGGGCAAACATGCTATTTGTAGTCAAACAGATCTTGCCAAAATAATACATCGGTTGAAATCAACGTCTTTGACTAGTGAGTGATGGAGGTTAGTTGCTGTGAGGACGCACCATGTGGTCACAATCTGAATTACAAGGCCTTCCACATGTACCACTCTCTTTGGGGTGCTCTCAGCAGGGAGACTGTGTGTCTAGGAGTTGGGGGATGTCAGGCAGGTGTAGGAAAACTCTGTAATTGTCAACCTGAAACTTCTCTTAAAAAGTCTAATAATTAGGGGCCGGTGCCGTGGCTCACTAGGTTAATCCTCCGCCTGCGGCGCCAGCATCCCATATGGGTGCCGGTTCTAGTTCCGGTTGCTCCTCTCCCAGTCCAGCTCTCTGCTGTGGCCCGGGAGGGCAGTGGAGGATGGCCCAAGTGCTTGGACCCTGCACCCCATGGGAGACCAGGAAGAAGCACCTGACTCCTGGCTTCGGATCGGCACAGCTCTGGCCATTGCGGCCATTTGGGGGGTGAACCAACAGAAGGAAGACCTTTCTCTCTGTCTCTCTCTCTCACTGTCTGTATCTCTATCTGTCAAATAAATAAATAAAATCTTTAAAAAGTCTAATAATTAAAAAATTACAGGACCAACAATAATAGAACCTAAAAATTCGAGTTGTTACTCGACAATAACCAGATAACAGCAAAGGATGTGTGCTCTGAAACGTGTGGAAATATTAAGGCAAAACTTCCCACTTTGCATTAGGACGCCTTCCACTAAAATGTCAACTGTGCAAAACTCGTAACGCTGAGAAAGGAATGGTAGATCCATGAAGCTTCAGAGAAACCTGAAATACATTCCAGAATACTTCTAAAATGTTTTTATAATGTGAGACAATGAGCTGAAGAGAAAAGGGCAGAGCCACAAAGGAAGACGGAGAGGGAAGGAGGCAGAAAAAGAAAGGATATCCTCACGCTTCCTGTCCCTTCTCCTGTTCCTACTGTTTGATGAAGTCAAGATTGTGGGAAGAAATCCCCCCTCCTCAGAGGGCTGGTGGGGTGGGGAAGAGGGACGGAACAGGAAACGCTTAGGGTTCCATCAAATACAGGGATTTCAGAAGTGGGCGCGGGGTCCCACGCTGAGCTCACATTCTACAGTGCACTGCTTCAGAAGTTGAAGTGGCTCCAAAGGTTGTTGTGGGTCACCCTGAAACCTACAAACCCTCTCATATTATTCCCAAAGAAGGGTACACATTAAATGCTGTCATAATCCATATATAAACATAAGATCACAAAAATAAGGTAATGAATAAAATTATATATGCAAACAAAATTAAACTTAAAAATCTCTTTTCAGTTTGAGAACTGTCTATATGTTTAAGATCTACAGCAAAGACGCCTGTCTGCCCTCACCCGAAGCCAGAGCTCATGAGAGAGCACAGAACCGTGATGTGCTCACGTAGGAAGCAGGACAACGAAGACGGAAAGTGGGAAAGGCTCTAAATCAGCAGAACGTGGTAATGCAAGGAAATCCAAGATACCCTAAAAAGGGGGAATGCAGCCCACCCATGGAGGCCAGTAAGCAGGGCCTGGGACCAGGACCACCTCAGGGTCTGCTGAGGGAACAGGAATGCACATCACAAATGGTGAAGAAGGTGGGGCTGGATGCCGTCCCTGCTCCAGGTGCACGGCTGGCTCTCCACCCTCGCTCTCTTCAGTACCCTCACTGGGGACTTTCAGTTACTGTAAGCAGGAGCTGCTCCAGTGTTGGAGATGTGAAGTGGAATGGGACCAGACAGCTGGTAAGAAGGCTACTTAATGAGCTAGCAGCCCTATGGGAGCACAAACCCCTCGAGTGCCAGCCAAAGGGAAATCCAAAGATAGGCCTAAGAATCTAACAGATAAAATATAGATTTAAGTAATCTTTTCTCTTGTTTTAGCAATTTTTTCCTACAAAATATTTCCGAGAAATAGATTCTACTTGATTGTGGGGTATGTATCTCCTTTTGTTAAATGCACACCTGTACACATACACACACACACACACACACACACCACTCTCTTTCTCTCTCAACACATGCACAAACACAAAGGAGTTAAAGTTTCACAGTTCTGACTGTAGGATCCACGTTTCACCTGGCCCTCAGTGTGCTGGGACTGCAGGTTTTAAGAAGGCAGCATGACTGACCTTGCTAACAGCAGACACTACCACCTCTTTTACGGCTTCCTGGAGGACTTCTGAGAGTTGTCACACTAACTTTAAAATAGTAAAAGGTTAACCTGGATGATTTCATCATAGTTCTTTATGACATACAATCACTTCACTTCCCTGCGTGGACAGGGCAGCAACTGTTTTCACCTTCAAGTTTCTATTTCACCAGGAGTAACCTCATTCTTCTCCCATTCTAGTTTTTTTCTATAGAGATCACAGAGACAACTGGGACCAAATACACCAAAAGGAGCTACCATTTTCTTCCCAGGTTAAAGGACAACGAAACAGAGAATGGATTTTGTATTCCCCCTACTACTCATGTTTGCCTGGGGCACAGTGCCTTGCTGTTTCCATCCAATGGTTACCTTCCAAGGAAAGTGACAGTAATCCTCTTCTTAACACTGATTCTTGCCACTACAATAACTTCTGGATAGGAAGGAAGTTATAAAATGAGTAAGAAATTAAGCCATGAGTACAAAATTAAAAGAGAAGGGAGGGAAACTGGAAGGGACTAAGAAGGCCATGGTGAATGAAATTAACCTCTAGAAAAATATTAGGATAATAAAAATGAAGTGGACAAGGAAGAACATTAATGCAAATAATCCTGAAAGAAAATTTAACTTCAAGAAAACAGAAATGCCGAGTGTTGCAGCAATATTATAACATGCTTTACCAGGAAGTCAGACAAAATGTTTAAACTCCCTGCAGTTTTTCAACTGCAGTATGAAAGTTCGCTTGCTAAACAGTTAATTCAGCAATGAGAAATAATAAGAATATTTGCAAATACTCAGGAATAGAAATCCAAATAAATCAATAAACTATAAATGCATTTTTTTCTTGCTCTCCTATTGTACAGAAATGGTATTCAAAAGGTAGCACAATTTTTAAATAAATTTCATTCTTATAATGTAAGGGGCTCCGTATCTTCCTTCCTGCCTACTGTTTCTGGAGAATGAAATAGGAGCTAAAGGCGACTCAGCAACTCTTCCTTCCAAGCTACTCTGGTAACTTTTACTAAAGTCAGCAGCTGTAGAACCATTAAGTGCTGAGAAAAATGTGAACGCACTGTCAGGGCTCTAATCTGAAGGGTCCCACGTTTCTTACCGTGTCTTTTCCACCTGTGACCTCTTATTGACATGCTGGTTACTGCATTTCTTGATATCCTAGAGGCAGTTGGGGTGATTTCAACTTGAATACACCGTGTACCTTCCTTACTAGATTTCATGGCACCATGAGGCAATGAAGCCTTTATTGCATTGGCAACCTAAGAAGGAAAAATGAAGGTTAAGACTGACATTAACAGATGTATTATTTCACCTTGAGATAAAGCATGGTGCTAAATAGCAATAGGCTTATAAAAGAATACTCCTCTACAATAAAGAGTAATAGCTCAGAGGAAAATTTATGGCTAAAAATAATGTGAGATACTCAAAAAAAGTTTGTGAAAAAAAATGGAATTAAATGATAAATTTATTTTAGTGCAAAAGTTCAAAAAAATACAAAGTTTTTAAATAAATTTTCATGATTTCCATGACTTTTTTGAAGTATGTGATAAGATTGAAAATTTCAAAATATTAACTTGGATTTACAAATGCCTAATGCTAAGTAATAAATGCAGCTAAGGTATGTTAAGGAGACCACACTTATAAGTTAAAAGGATTATTTATCAAGTATCTGGGAAATTAAACTAATGACATTTTCAGCTGTATATATATGCCTTCCTAAGTGTAAAATTTTCCAAATATAATAAGAACATGAATCACTAAGTATTAATGAGATGATTAATGCACTATGAATGGCTAATTTTCAATTTATAGTTGCAAAATTTACATATATAGGTGCAACACCTACCAGCAATGGCTCTGGATATAACTCTAGCTGGGCCCGGTATATAATATCATCCAGTGCTTTTTGAGCTAGCTCCCATTCTCCATTATATCTACAAAATTAAGTGAGTGAAATAATGTAATTAATTATGTATAATTAAAAAATACAATGAGAAACTATCTTCACTGAGGAAAATAACAGATCATATTAGCACACTGCTTAATATCCTGCTTCTATTATTAATATATTTTTAAATCTTTGAATTCCTTTCCATTGTATTTGAAAGCCCACTAATAGCAGGGAAATTTTATAGATGTACATTTCTTCTCTAAAGAACATGACTATTTATAGAACAAAAATCAAAAAAGGCTATGATAATTTCAAAGCACTTTATACTTTCAAAGCAAGTTACAGCATAATAAATTATATACCTTAAAATACTGTTCAGAACACTTTATGGTCAAATTACCCTTTAACTCCCACGGGTTTTCTATGAGACTCTACAACTACTGTGACTTGCAGTATCCTGAGTAGTCATTTCTTTCCATTCTGAAAGTCATTTAGATGGACACATGGTGTATGCTGCAAATATCAGAGAGATATGAGGGGGAAAATGTGCATGTGTATGCACAATATTCAAGGATATGCCAGACCCTTCCCAGAAATTGGCTAAAAGACAAAAGTGAACAGATTTATTGGCTTGACCCCCTGCCAACAAAATAAAAAATATATGAATTGCATCAAGAGTGCAAGTGAGGCCCAAAGACTGGAAAGCACTGCCCTACCCTCAAAACAAAACCAATCCAGGTAATCTAAATCATAACTTCTCATGAACCTATCAAAGAGCAGAGCTCCTGGGGCAAACAAGTAGCCTGAACCCTAGGAGCGGCGGGCAGCAATGCAAGCAGTGAGAACTCAGCTAAACCTTCAGACAACAGCCTGGAAGCCAGCTGCTCAAAGCCAGCACAGGAGCTAGCAAGAGCACATAGAATCCCTGGAGGCACACGCAAGCGGAGCCCACGCCACGCTCCCTCACGGCGTGTCCTCCTGGCCATAAACCTCCCTCTGGTGCTCAGGAGAGAAACTGGAATCAGGGCAGGAGGCCAGAGAAAGCTGCCCTTGGCAGCACAGGCCTGATGAAGAGCGACCACTCAGTGTGGGAAAGGCAGCAAGAAGGAGCCGGAGCCTTTCCTCACGCGGAAGAAACGCTCTAAAGTCTTTAAGGGGAAGAGAAACAAACCCTGGCCCCTCAGGGCACAGAAGCAGGTGGACTGTGGCTCAGAAGGAAAGACAAACAGTATCACTCTCTGCTGAGGCCACTGGAGGAGGCGCAGCACCACTGAGAAACGCCCCGCCCTGGGGTTGCAGGAGCATGGGGTTAGCCGAGAACTGAGGAGGACAGAGGTGGCCGCCGCCCACCCTCACTTCCTTCCCTCGCGCCCAGACTAGTACACACCTGCAAACAATCGACAGCACCCTATCGCCGGAGGAGGGGCAAGAACAGGGAGAGAGACCCTCTCCGAGGCGCAGCCAGACCAGGAAGGCTGGACGCTGAGGATGCAGCAGCAGTACTCAGGACAACGCGGCGGGCAACCAGATCCAAGCCTCAGGGCCAGGTGGTGCTCCGAAGGTAACCATAGCAACAGCACAACCCCCAAGCCCAGCTCACTCCTGCCTAGGACTCAAGAGGCACGCCAATTCCAGGTGTAAATAGTATTTACCTCTGTCCCTATCATCCTGCTCCTGAACAAAGTCGCAAACAATCCAAAATTACAGTGCACACACACAAAAAGCAGAGTGGGAAACTAAGGGGGGAGGGGAGAGGTGGGGAAAAAAAATCAGAGCAATCAGTAGAACTACTGAATTCAGAGACGACCCCAATGTTGAAGTTATTAAGGAAGCTGAAGTTAATATGACTAGCACATTAAAGACGAGTGGAAAAGATGGACTACATGCACACACAGATGGAAGTCTCAGCAGAAAGATGGGAACCATCAGAGGCTACTGCAAGGGAGATGAAGAACGCAGTCACTGGCCTCACTGGTAGACTAGACACAGGCAAGGGAAGAATGGCCAACGTGAAGATGGAGCAACAGAGACTACTCCAAATGAAGCGGAGAGAGACAATAAAATAGCTCAGACCATCCAAGAGCTGTAGGACAGTATTTATGGCTGAACACAGGAATCAGAAGAAAAAAATTTTTTTAATTTGACAGGTAGAGTTATAGACAAAGAGAGACAGAGAGAAAGATCTTCCTTCTGTTGGTTTACTCCCCTAATGGCCCCTATGGCCCGCGCTGCGCCAATCCGAAGCTAGGAGCCAGGTGCTTCTCCTGGTCTCCCATGCTGGTGCAGAGACCCAAGCACTTGGGCCATCCTCCACTGCCCTCCCAGGCCACAGCAGAGAGCTGGACTGGAAGAGGAGCAACCGGGACAGAATCTGGCACCTCAACCGGGACTAGAACCCGGGGTGCCGGCAGCGCAGGCGGAGGATTAGCCAAGTGAGCCACGGCACCGGCCCAGAAAATTATTTAAAGAGCCAGACAACAAATCCTTCAGGCCTGTGTGTCAAACAGTCTCTACTTCAACTGTTCAACTCTGCTACTGTAGCACAAAAGCAGCCACAGACAATATGGTGTGACTGAGTTTCAATAAAACTTTACCTATAAAAGCAGGCAGAGGGACTGGCACTGAGGCACAGCGGGTTAACGCCCTGGCCTGAAGAACCGGCATCCCACATGGCCGCTGATTCAAGTCCCAGCTGCTCCACTTCCGATCCAGCTCTCGTCTATGGCCTGGGAAAGCAGTGGAAGATGGCCCAACCCCTTGGGCCCCTGTACCCACGTGGGAGACCCGGAAGAAGCTCCTGGCCCCTGGCTTCAGATCGGCACAGCTCCAGCCATTGCGGCCAATTGGAGAGTGAACCATTGGATGGAAGACCTCTTTCTCTCTCTCTGCCTCTCCTCTCACTGTGTAACTCTGACTTTCAAATAAATAAATAAATCTTTAAAAAAAAAAATAAAAGCAGGCAGCAGGCCAAATTTCCTCCACAGACCATAAATTGTGCCTCCAGTCAAGAAGGGGTCTTGTAGGGATAGATCTAGTAGGGATAATTAAGGTATCAGGTGGACACAATACAAAGTACAGTAAGATGTGTAATTAAGAGAATTACAAAGTTAAAGGCAGGGTTCAAAGAAAAATGCTGGGATTTAAGTCATTAGGTACAAATGAACACCCAAATGAGAACTCAACAGTCAATTAATAATCAACTATATCTGATTAAAGAGGATTTAATGCAGTGGAGGATGCCCCAGGTCCTTGGGCCCTGCACACATATGGGAGACCAGAAGGAAGCACCTGGCTCCTGGCTTCGGATCGGCACAGTATGCCAGCCACAACGCACCAGCCGTAGTGGCCACTTGGGAGGTGAACCAATGGAAAAAGGAAGACCTTTCTCTCTCTCTCTCTCTCTCTCTCTCTCTCTCTCTCACTGTCTAACTCTGCCTGTCTAAAAAAAAAAAAAAAAAAAAAAAAAAGAGAGAGAGAGAGAGAGAGAGGCTTTAAAACGTTTTTGAAGAGGTAAAATTTCAGTGGAAGAAGATATTCATTGTATTCATTGGAGAAAAAAACTGTTTGGAAATGATTGTCAAAAGAGTAATGAAGAGAAAGACCAGGTATATTTTAAGTCTTACTGATTGTCATTCTGTCCTTGAATTAAAGAAAAATGGTTAAATGTTTTAGCTGGTTACAAGTGCTTCAGAACGTTAAAAAGATGTTTTAAATAATAAAGGTATTATCAAGATCTTCATGTTCTTTCACAAAAATATAATTTTTCTGCAAGTACGGAGATTATAATACAGTAACAACAGACTAACAGACTATAATTTTCCAAAGAAAGCAAAAATTGACTTGCACACGAGATGAACTTACAAGGCAAAATAAATCCCTGTTAACATTTGCACCATGAATCCTGAAGAAACTGGTATCCTGCTACTGACACCTTTGTATTTTCTTACATGTTGTCGAGGATATCCACAAACACAGATTCTAGAGAGACCGAAAGAAATATATATGGTAAAATTGGTAAAAATTCAGATAATTTATTTTTTAACATTTGTAAAACAACAATCTAGTAGGTATACTCTCATAACAAACCCAGTATCTGTGAAACGAAGAATCCTTCCAAGGAGAGCATTCAGCTGTAACATTTCTCTGAGTAAATTAGGCCGAGAAAAGGATATAAAAGGTTACAAAGCCTAAGGACTGCTCATATATAGCAAGTGAACGGGTTCACCAATTTTGGTCAATTCAATTATTACTAATTTGTGGCTACCACAAAGCCCATTACATGGACCTCGGTAACTTGTCATAAATTCACCTGGGATGTGACCCTAATTCCTGACAAAGTCCTTGACACAAACTTCTCAGTCCAAAAGAATACTGTAGGGGGCTAGTGCTGTGGTGTAGCAGGTAAAGCCACCGCCTGCAGTGCCAGCATCCTATATGGGTGCCAGTTCAAGTCCCAGCAGCTACACTTCTGATTCAGCTGTCTGCTAATGCCTGGGAAAGCAGCAGAAGATGGCCAAAGTCCTTGGGCCCCTGCACCCACGTTGAGAACCCGGAAGAAGCTCCTGGCTCCAGGCTTTGGATCGGCCCTGATCCAGACGTTGTAGTCATTTGGTGAGTAAACCAGAGGATGGGAGATCTCTCTCTCTCTCTCTCCTCTGTGTGTGTGTGTGTGCGTGTGTGCGCGTGTACCTCTCTGCCTTTCAAATAATAACATTTAAAATTTAAAATAACATTTAAAAAAATTTTTTTAAAAAGAATACTGTAAATTAGACTCATGGGCCAGTCTTGTGGCATAACGGGTAAAGCCTCCACCTTTGACACCTGCATCCCATATGAGCTCCAGTTCAAGTTCTGGCTGCTCCAGTTCTGATCGGCTCTCTGCTAATGGCCTGGGAAAAGCAGCTCCACACAGCCTGCCTCCCTGTGGAGACCTGGATGGAGCTCCTGGCTCCTGGCTTCTGCCTGGCCTGGTTATGGCCATTGAGGCCATCTGGGGAGTGAACCAGCAGATGGAAGATTCTCTCTCTGTCTCCTCCTGCCCCTGTAATTCTGACTTTCAAAAAATTAGTAAACCTTTTTTTAAAAAAAAATTAGACCCACATCTCATACAGTATACCATAATAAATTTTGGATTAACTGTTTTAATATTTAAAGCTCTAAAAGAAATAAACATAAGCAAATAGTTGTACATTCTTTGCATGCTGCCTAAATAAGACACCAAAGATAGACTCCTAAAGAAAGATCAATAGGTCTTAGTGAATTTTTAAAACAACTACCATACACAAAATTGAAATGCAATGAAATAGGGACTATAATGAGAAATATTTAGGGAATACTGAAGTTGAGGAGTATTTATTAGAGTGAATAGGAAACTACCTAAAAGGTGTACACAGGAACCAGCTATATAAATCATCCAGAGAACACTCTGAAGCTATAAAGCATGACATTGTGAAAGTCTAATTAAATGATGGGAAAAACTGCAAAGAGATATAGGATGTGTCTCACTATGAAAAGAATTATAACATGGGAAGCGGGATACTCAGCAGACTCATAGAATGGCAGATATCCTAAACAGCACTCTGTTCTCAGAATCAGCCCTTAAGGCATTCGGATCTGGCTGAAGAGCCCATGAGAATATTTTAGGCATGGAAAGCCAAGACATTCTGGCAAGAAAGAAAATAAAAAGAAGAGAAAAAACCCCACTCCACCTAATGAAAGATCTTCTGCAAGTGAGATCCTAGATCCTAGTGGAAAGAACAGGGCCATCAAAGAAGGAGGTACCTTTCTCTGAAGGGAGGAGAGAACTTCTACTCTGACTACGACCTTGTCTAAATATGATCAAGAATCGGTGAACTCAAAAGGCTTCCATAGCCTTGGCAACTCATGACAAGAGCCTCGGGTGATTACTGACACCATAAACAAGAGTGTCAATTTGTTAAGTCAACAACAGGAGTCACTGTGCACTTATTCCTCATGTAGGATCTCTGTCCTTAATGTGTTGTACAATGTGGATTAATGCTATAACTAGTACTCAAACAGTACTTTACATTTTGTGTTTCTGTGTGGGTGCAAACTGTTGAAATCTTTACTTAGTATATACTAAATTGATCTTCTGTATATAAAGATAATTGAAAATGAATCTTGATGTGAATGGAATGGGAGAGGGAGCGGGAGATGGGAGGGTTGCAGGTGGGAGGGAAGTTATGGGGGAAAAAGCCATTGTAATCCATAAACTGTACTTTGGAAATTTATATTTATTAAATAAAAGTTTAAAAAAAGAATTATAATCTCTAATCTGTGGGAATTTATATTCACACATGTTTTCTAAATTTTCTATTATAACATGAATTGCTTTTAAACAAAACAATAAATTTCTATTCTTAATAAATCAATTTACTAGAAAATAGCTTCATTCTCCCAATATGCTGTGGTTGATATAACATAACTTTACTTAGTGTAGTACCAGCCAATAAATTCTAAGGGTTTGCCTATTGTTCCACAGTAGTCAATACCTAGAACTTAGTATTGGGGCCGGTGCTCTGGCTTATCAGGTAAAGCTGCCACCTGCGAAGCCCAGCATCCCTTATGGGTGCTGGTTTGAATCCCAGCTGCTCCACTTCTCATCCAGCTCCCTGCTAATGCTCCTGGGAAAGCAGCAGAAAAGACAACTGAATTGCTTGAGTCCCTACACCCACATGGGAGACCCGGAAAAAGCTCCTGGCTCCGGACTTCAGTCTGACCCAGCCCTGGTCATTGCTGCCATTTGGGGAGTTAACCAGTGGATGGAAGATCTCTCTCTCTCTCTCTCTCTCTCTCTCTCTCTCTCTCCTTCTCTCCCTCTCTCTGTAACTCTGACTTTCAAATAAAAAAAAATCAAATCTTAAAAAAAAAAAAAAAGAAGAATAGGGACCAGCGTCATAGCACAGAAAGCTAAGCCTCTGCCTGTGGTGCCGGCATCTTATATGGGTGCTGGTTTGAGTCCCAGCTGCTCCACTTCTGATCCAGCCCTCTGCTATGGCCTGAGAAAACAGTGGAAGACGGCCCAAGTGCTTGGACCCTAGCACCCATGTGGGAGACCTAGAAGAAGCTCCTGACTCCTGGCTTCAGTCTGGCCCAGCTCTGGCTTTTTAGGCTATTTGGGGAGTGAATCAGCAGATGGAAGACCTCTCTCTTCTTTTTCTGTCTATAACTCTACCTCTCAAATAAATAAATAAATAAAATTTTAAAAAAAATTTAGTATTGCCTCTGCTTTGTGAATCTAGGCCTTTGCTTTAAAAATCCCAATGTACATCACACAGACCATTTGAAACATACCTCTCTGAGAATCTCATTAATACCAAGCAACTGCAAAGAATAAATATAAATTCATTCGACATCAAGAGGATCTCAGAATGTGTTAGAAACAAGCGTAAAAAGCAAGCAGGGAAACAGAAAAACTAGCTGCTCATGAAATAAAAGCCACTTAGAGTTTATTTGAAATTAAAAAGATTTACTCCCAAAGTAGAACAGGGGCTCCTTTACTATTTACAGAGGCCAGCATAGAGAAGTTTACTTTCTTATACTTTATGGAACGGTAGGGGTGGAAGTAAATAGAGAACCAACCATGTGTGAGAGGCAGGAATTTTCGTGAACTCCTTTATCACTCAGTCGATGCTTATTAAAGACTGATGCTGCGTCAGGCAGCAGAGACGGAGCTGGCAGCTGCAGTGCCCCGATCACAGAGACTGGGTAGGAATGTGTATGTGCTTGAATGACCCAGGCCAGAGGTGGCAAGAGCAGAGAGTGCCGCGGCGCGGTGGCAGAAGTGAGGGGTCAGAAAGGGTCTCTCAGAAAAAGATCCCTTTGAACGGCATTTTCCTCAGGGCGAAGGCAGAGGCGGGACGAAAGAGCGGGACGCTGAGGACGCTAGGAAATGATGGAGAAACTAGCTGGCTGGGGTCAGATCCCGGTGCATCTCACAGCCGCTAGGTATGACCACATGGAGAATGGGAAACCGCTAAAGGCTCCTGTTGTTTGAAGCCAGGGAGTGACAGGTTCCAATTGCTCCTTTGATGGTATTACTCTGCACGGGAGGAGCTCACTGGAACTGCGTGGGGAGGGAGCGGTGGGAGCCTGGGTGGTCTCAAAGCATCCCAGGATTGAGAAGAAGGGGTCCCGAGCTAAAGAAGTCCTGGTGGGAAGAAGGAGGAAGGGTGGGCTTGGAGCCACATCTGGGAAACACAGTCAGGCGTGAGAATGAAGGAACGAGAGAGGTGAATAATTATTCCACACTTACACTGGACAGCTCGCTAGATGCTAGTATCTCTAAATCGGGACAACAGGACGCACTGTGCTGAAAGACGTGGAGGTTCAGGCTTGCTGATCTCTACACAGATTACATGATGTCAGCTTTGCCTTCCGTGTCTATTAACACCACCGCCATTCCTCTTACCTTCAGGAATTAGTCTCCCACTGTCAAGTACAATCACAGGATTGTAATATATCATATTCAATATATAAGGCACATTCCCCTCCTCTCCCTGCCATGAATTTTAGCTAGAATACTGGCCACCCTGTCGGAGACTACATTTGCTAGTTTTTCTTGCAGCTAAGAGACCATGTGCCTAGTTTCTGGACAATGGTACATTAACTGGCGTGGCAAGCCTTGAAGAATCAGCTGCGTGCTGCCTCCTCCCTCCTCCTCCCTGCTTATGGAATAGAAGGCAGATGTAGTAACAGTGGCCCACCTCCCTTTAACCTGAAGAATGGCGGAACCCCACAATAGAAGGAGTGGGAACACACTGGAAACATGATCAATCTAACCCCAGTCCATCTACCAGCTTGGACTTTCATGTGAGGGAGACCAAACCAAGAGCTACCTGATTCCTTATTCCTCCAGTAATACTACCCAACATGGCCCCAGAGGGGTACGTAGAAGCCTCAGACTAGAACTGGGTTCTTTGCTGGATTGTTTTCCATACGGAAGCTGAGAGAGAACA